TCAGGGTGACAAAAGGAGAATCAGACAGCTGGTGTGTTTGAGAATTTTGCGGAAGGAGAGAGGTACGCAGAGCACGGTCTGAGGAAGTTTGTGCGTAACAAAACTCCTCAGATCATGCCTTCTATCAACGCTTTCTTCTCCGACCCCAACTACTGAAATTGGAGATCTAGTTCTAATAATAAAACCTCATGTATCAATGAAGGAGCGTTGATTTTCATGTTAGAATTTGGGAATAAAACACATTAGTGATATACACCTTCTTCTTTCTTATGTTTCCTCTGTTTCTTGGTTTGTATAAAACCATGACTTCAAAAATATTTTATGAACAACTGTTCATGTTCATCAATAGTATTATTACATCTCAATTTGTTTTTCCCTAGCATTGATCTCATGTGTCATTTGTGTTTACTTCTTGTTAAAACTACATTTAAATGAGACAAAGGTTGTTTTCATATGAGAAAATTGTCAACAGTGAATATGATTGGGCTTGACGAATAAGATCTATGGGCCTTGGGCCTTACTTTATGATACGAAACGACATCGTTATTACCAATCGATACTCGAAAGAACACATTTTCCTTCATTATCGCCTTCTGACTTCTGTGTTCCGCTGGAGAAGGTTTTTTACTTTTTAGAAACCTCTCTTTCTCATTTGTAATGTGACTGATTGTTTTGTTGATGATGATAAGGCAAGTTCAAGTATCGTCTACTGATTCCTTTTCTTCTCTTTCCGTTTCCTCGGCTCGGAATGTTGTCGGAGTTCTCTACCCCAACTCTGCTTCTGGTAATATCATCGAACATCTTGTGTGCCTCAAATAATTTTTTTTTTTAATTTTCGCTTCGTGGTGGGTTAATGGATTCTTAAGAACGTTGTTGGATTTCGATGAGTAACATACTAGTGACTAAGAAAATTATCGCGGAATCAATTTCCTTTTTGTGGAATTGGCAAAATTGAAACGCAAAACCAGACTTAACACGTTCGTCTTTCAGTTTGCTGCTTGTTGTCGCTAATGGCGTGTATCTGGGTTTAGTTTATATCCTCGGTTATTTTGGTTCATGTGTCTGTTTGATGCTTTTCAAGTTCAAAGATTGA